CTTATATACAGTGGTGCTTAAAGCTTTGTGAACACTTTTGAATTTTCAATATATCTGCATTAATATGACCTAAAACATGATCTGTTCTCTATAAAAGTTCTAAAACTAGATAAACTTCCCCAACCTCTTTGGGAGCAGCGGAGTTACCTTTCTTGTTTAACTGCAACACTGAAGGAGGAGGTGTAGCAACCTTCATGGCCAGACCATAGGCTCCTCTAAAGGAATGACTGTCACGGACAATGAATGACCCAGCTTCCTTGTCCTTCAGGACAGCAATGGCTGCGTGACAAGAAGAAAGAGAGGTTAGAAGAGCACTGTCTTTATTCAAAATAAAAAGCCTTGCATTAACAGCTGGGGGGGGGGAAACGGGAGCTGTACAGTCTAAAGGGAAACTGCCAGTAGATTGTTTGTGTTAATATAGTTGCTATTAGAATGGATTATGAATGTCTTGCTCACAGTAACTAAAAACATACACCAGAAATGGCCCATGTTCTTTTTCTTCAGAAACTACTGTTTTTCTGGCAGTACTCTGGGAATCAGAAATATATTTTAATATATTAAAACGTAAATATCTGAATGGTTAGGGAGCCAATTTGGTGCACTGGACTGGAAACTGGGAGATGGTAAGTTCTAGTCTGCCTTAGCATGAAGTCAGCTGTGTGACTTTGAACCAGTCACTCTTTCAGGCCTAAAAAGGTGGCAATGGCTAAGTGCTTCTGAAAAACATTGCCAAGAAAACTGCATGGACTTTTCTGTGTAGTCTAAAGGAGTCAAGGCTGACGCACAATTCATTTCCCAGAAAGGAAAGAAAGGGTCTAACCTTTATCTACTACTGCATAATGATTAATGCCCAGCTTTCTATTTTCAGAATCAAAAGAAACAAGAAGCTGATAGCTGTGATTCACTGATAAACTTTTACTCTGATTTATGCACTGCATGGAACCTCAGAAATCTATTAAAATAGTTTTATTCCTATCAGCAGTCAGTTTACAGAGATCTGTAGAAGGTTGGGCAATCTGCAGGAAATTTTTGCTTATACACAATCTCTCCTCCCCCACCCCAATAATAAAATATAGCATAGAATACTGATAAAAATCA